TCGACGACAACGCCTTTGCCGCCCTCAATCAGATCGCCTTCAGCAACAACATGCAGATCGTCTCGTCGCTCGCAAACGACGAGACCTTCCTGCAGTCGCTCCGCGACAAGCTCGCCGACCCCAGCCTCTCCTCCGAGGCGCTGCACGACGCGCTGCGGCTCCTGCAGGAGCTGACGACCATCGCCAAGCAGCTGCAGCTGTACAACCGCTCGACCTTCTACCGGAAGTTTGTCGAGCACGCGTGCTTCGCGCCGCTCGCCGCGGCGCTGCGGCGGCCCGAGCCCGAGATACGGCTCTGTGCGCTCGAGGCGCGTGCCCTCCCTCCCTGCCGGCCTCCGACCCTGCAGCGCCGCCCTCGCCACCCACCCCTTCGCCCACCCCACCCCGAACGACCACCCCGAACGACCACCCCGCGCCCGCCCGCCGCAAGGTGCTGCTCGCCTCGACGCAGCACGAGCCGGCGCTGCTGCGCACTTGCATCCTCTCGCAGCGGCCCGGCTACGAGCTCTGCCACGCGCTGATTGGCGTGCTCGTCTCGCCGGGCGGCACTGGCGAGAAGCCGCAGGCCTCGGAGGTGCTGCGCGCGCTGCTCGACCCAGACGCGATGGAGGGGCGCGAACGCGACGAGTTCCTCAACCTGTTCTACGACGAGTTCGTGGACAAGATTGCGCAGCCCGTCGCCGGCAAGGTGTCCGCCGGCACGGGGCCGCTCAACGGGCCGACGAATGGGACGTCGGGCGCGCGCGGCGGCGAGGGAGGGGCGGGGAGCGCGGAGGGGGACGACCCGGCGGAGGAGGCGGCGGGCGACGTGCTCTCGGCGCGGCAGCACGTGTGCGAGCTGCTGTGCTTCTTTGTGACGCGGCACACGTACCGAATCAAGTACTTCATCCTGCGCAACAACGTGCTCTGCCGCGTGCTGCGGCTGGCAAAGGTACGCGACAAGGGGCTCGTGCTGGCGGCGATCCGGTTCTTCCGCACGTGCATCGGGCTGAAGGACGAGTTCTACAACCGGTACATCGTCAAGAACCGCTGCTTCGAGCCGGTGGTCGCGCAGCTGCTCGCCAACCTCGGCCGTGACAACCTGGTCCACTCGGCCATCCTCGAGCTGCTTGAGTTTGTGCGGCGCGAGAATGTGCGCTCGCTCGTAGCCCACCTGGCCGACGCGTACGGCGAGCGGTTCCGGACGCTCAAGCACGTTGAGGTCTTTGAGGGGCTGCTGCGGCGCGACGCGCAAAACAACGACCCCGGCGCGATCGGCCCCGCCAAAGGGCCGGCGGCGGGCGGGCCGGGCGCGTCGAGCTGCGCGGTGGGCGCGCCGCCGGGCGGGCGGCGCGTCTTCGGGGGA